TTTGGGACTGATAATTTACTTAACTTTGCAAGTATTTTCTAGTTTTTTTTAGTATAAAGATTAAAATGTTATGGTATTTTCCACTTTGTTTTTATAGATTTTGTTTTTAATACAGCTATAATATCATTATACAAGTTTCCATTAGAACTCTGGCTTTTTAAATGTAGCTTACTGTGGACTAATATTCAATTTAGTATTTGTTTTTCTATAAGCATGGGCAGAATTTCTTCCAAGTATATTATGTTACTTTATGTTTTGCATTGAATATTTCTGAACTATTACTGTGACTACCTGCATAAGAATTCACTCAAATTAATTATATTCTGCTACTTACTTTCTGCCCACTTTTATTTGCATATTTTCTTTATAGATAATAAAAATGATTCAAATTTATTTTATATTGACTTGCATCTTTTATCGGTAATCACTGAAATTCTAGACTAGGCTTTTGCAGTGCTAAGGTGTACTGTGTGATGTGTTTCTGCTGTGTACCACCGTTCATTAACCCCCATACATTTCTTTTTGATAATGTGATTTTATACTTTTTTCCAACAATTTGTAGAATATTACTAATTATCCAGAATTTATATTTTCTTAATTTCCAGCCATATATAGTACTATATTTATATGAACAAAGTGATATTTCTCTATAAAGCTACTTTAAAATTCTTTCAATATATGTATTAATAACAGGCTTACATTATTTTTCAAAAATTTTTCTTGTATAATTGGAATGTATCTTTACACAGCAGTATATTTCCCCCACCCTACCCTCTTTTTTTTTCTCAACTAATTTAAACTTTTAACTTTATGATGGCTGAGACAACATCTTACTGGGTGTTTTTATGAAGCAGCATCCTAATAGATGATTCTGTATTACAGGCCTGAAGGGTTCAGTCAGTGATTAAATGTAAGATTCTGTCCAGACACATGATAGAGCCACATTAAACCACTGCTGCCCACAGGCTGTTTGACAGCTGTCTGCCTAGATGTGATATTCAAATCACTGCAAGTGTTGGAATAGAGATACCAATTTGCAACCAAAACATGCTTCTAGAGTGTGAGAAACTTCAGACCAAAAAAGGCCTAGACATCACTTTGAAAGGTTTTTTGATGAGTAAATTGCAAATATTAGCACCACTAAGCTTAAAATAGTACCTGTTGAAATAGAAAAGTGAATATTCTCAAGTGTAATCTCTCTTCAAGCCAAGAAAGTGTAACTAGATTGAAACCAATTGAGAAACCTAAATGTAATTTTAACTCCTACCTCGATGGATATAGCAAGTTCAAGTGGTCAAGTAAACTCACCTGGGTTTTGAAGTCCTAGAACACTGTTAGAGTGTCTTTTTACCTTTAGATATTGCTGATTGCTTAATCCACACTACTTTGCACACAGAAGATATTCCATATATGTAGAATTATCTACCCTCATTTCCAGTGAAAAAGACTTTATCACTGAGAGTGGAGAGTGCCACATTCCTGTTCCTTAATGAGGAAAAACTCTTACCTGGTATACTCCAGGCATGTCACTGCCAATGCTGTTTCATTTTTGTAGTGACAGTCATAAATTTAAAGACAGTTATGAACTGTCAGCATCATTGTAAAGCCCTGTGTTACCAGGTCCTCACTGACTTGTGCTTTGTGGTAATGAGAGCCACCTTCAGGGACATACGACCTGTGCCGTTCCATGGGGCCTTTTACTTGGCTTGATGCTCTGTTCTTACTATCTTGAGATTATTAATAATTTTTTAACAAGAGGCTCTCTGTTCTCATTTTGCACTGAACCCCCAAATTATTAGCCAACCCTGCTGGCAATTCTGTCTTTCTGTCATATAGTTCTGCTTAACAATGCTATATGATATAACCTGTTCCTGAGAGTTTGCTTTCATTGTAAATGTTGGTGTCTTTTAAAAGTACTGGTTCTTCACACAATGCAATAGACAGATGATGTATTACAGAATTGTATACCTGAAAACTATATAATTTTATTAACCAATGTCACCTCAGTAAATTCGATTTAAAAATAAAAATAAAAGTACTGGTTCGTTATTAGAAATATTTGTAAAGCCCATCATTCTGCCCCCTCCCATCCCCTGTGAGGCAGTGCCAGAGGCATGGATAGCAGCATGCCTGGCACCTGGAGAAATGGAGAGTGAGGGTGGGGAGAGCAGAGGTGGCAGCTAGAATAGTTGGGGAGGTGGTTACAGCAGATAGAGAAGTTACTTGATTTAGCAAATAAGTAAATACACTAAAGATAAAAGAGCCAGATTTCTCACTGTCTGAAAGGATTTATAAACATTAAAAGATGGAGAGCTGAAAAGAAGCCTCAGCCACTGGATTAGAGTCATGATGGTCAGCTCAGCATGGAGTCATGAGCGTTTTAATTTATATATAGAAATAGGTATCTGTTTATCTGTATTTGTTATGTAATCAAATATCAAAGTAGCTGTCATTGATTTTTATCCACATGGCATGGTTTATGTGTATGTGTATATGATTACACACACACATTCATGTTTAGACATACATTTCTTAGTTGTGTACACTAAGAAGGGCTAGAGACAGTGGCACCTCAGTAGTAATGAGCATAAGTGCCCAGATCTTGGTTTCTAAATACCACTCTTCACTGAAAGGAATCAGAGCTACTTGAAAAAATGACCAATTTCAGGTTGGTGCAGCAAACACACAAAAGATATACTTGGAATGCCTTGTTCCCATAAAGTAAAGAGATATTCAAAGAAAGACGGGGACATGTCACAAGGCCCCAGAGGCCAGCCTGAATTTATGCCCACTGGCCTAATCTAACTTAAGCAGCAAATAAATAATGTTAATATCAGATTACAACTCATTGAATAAAACAGGAATCCATGACCTCGTAAATAAATGAACAAACAGGAAGAAGGTAATACTCTTCTTTCCAGTGCCAGCTCAACTAATAATTGCAGGTGGGAGGACAGAAATAGGTGATCGCCGTTTGACCCCCACCACAGGGGAGGTGATGCAGACAGGAGTCACTGGTAAATGCTAGACTAGCAGTTAGAGGGTGAATGAGGAAGGAATAGGATATTGGTGCGATACCATGTGCTTGTTTCAGCTCATACTGTAAGCAGTATACTTTTTGCAGTCTATCTACTAACATTTTTTTTCTTCATTTTTGTGCTTCTTGTTGATTTAGCTGTTTAAAATGGCCCCCAGGCATAGTGCTGGGGTGCAGTCTGTCTAGTGTTCCTAAGCACAAGAAGGCTGTGATATGTCTTATGAAGAAAATACATGGTTAGATAAGTGTCACTGAGGCATGAATTTATAGTGCTGTTGACCACAAGTGCAATATTAATGACTCAGTAAAGTGCCTTTAAACAGAAACACAAACAAAACTAGGTTATGTATTGATCAGTTACAGAAAATGTGACTAAAGATGCACAGGGAACTAAGCCTGCATTTACCCTAGGATCAATGCTTCAGTATTTGCTAATTCAGTATTTGTGGCACCTTTATAGAACATAACTGTCATGAATAACGAGAATTGGGTGTGTCTGTCATGTATGGTACTAACAGTGGTTGCCATTGGTTTTATTAGATTAATTTCATATCATGTATAACAGTGTTTTACATTTTACTTTAGTTGTGAAAGTACATACCTATATTTGTTGGTTATTTATAAAGTATTTCAGAGTAAAAGGGGACATTTAGAAGACTTTAACTGTGGCTATATTACTCTCTCTTTGAATTCCCTGGTGAGTCATCTTAAATAATTTTGACTTAATCATTGCTTTATAGTGTCTTCATGGAAACTACTGACTTCCAGAGCCCAGTAGACTTAGTATATAGTTTTCAGTGCTAATTGATTGGCTTTTGATACTTCTTAGTGAGAAATATCTTATTAGAATTAATGGATGAAGTACTCAATATGTGTTTACATAACATTTGAAGGGTAAGTGAAAAGAGAAGGAAAAGACTCAAGTTGATTCAAAAGCAGAAATCATATCTTTCTTTTAATCAACCAGATATTAGACAAAACAAAATGGGGACTTGTCTTTGAATAGAAAGCAGATGTGCTGAGTATATTCTTCAGATTTTTACAAACTGCTTTATCTTTAGATACTGATTTTTGTCCAGAAGATGGTGTTTGGGGTACTAAAGTGGAACTCATAACTTCAACTTTTTTTTTTTCTTTGTTGACTTTAGAGAAAGAGGAAAGGAGAGAGAGAGAGTGAGTGAGAGAGAGAGAGAGAGAGAGAGAGAAACATTGATGAGGGAGAACATCAATCCGCCGCCTCCTGCATGCCCACAACCTGACGGGGAATCAAACCAGTGACCTCTTGGTGCATGGGTCGATGCTCAACCACTGAGCCACACCAGCCAGGCCATAACTTCAACTTTTGATTGAAGTCTCCTCGATGCATGGCATTTTACACTATATTAATGCCAGGAAATAATTTAATAAAATAATTTTATCTCCTTTCATCTTTAGGCAAGCCGTTGTATTTCTAATGAGAGTCACTTCTAATATTGATTTTTGGGAAACAGGAAAAAACATTTGTTATTTGAGACCAGTTGTTGGCTAAGCCAGGCTTTTGGTTATTTTTTATTCAGTAACTGTAAACAAATTGGATTTTGTTTTTAAAATAAAAACAAACAGTTTTATTTTTTTGTTTTGGTTAATACAAATGTCTCTTCAGTCAAAAAATAATTACTAATGTTATTGGATATTTGTTTTGCACTTCATAATCTTATAAAGTGGTTTTCATCAGGTGTTTCTCACAAAAACCCTGAGTGGTAGGTGAAAATTATAATTTCTTAAACGGGAAAACTGAGGGATAGAGAAGCTGTGAACCTTGCTTCCTGGTTGGAATATTCAGCCTCTGCTTTTCTGATCTGCACTCTAGGTTTTTTAGGTTTGTGTTTTTGTTTATTTTCTTTTTTTCCTTTTTTAAATATTCTTACCTACTGCTGTAGAGAATGAGCTATATTTTGCAACAGCTGATCTTTTTCTCCTACAGAGATATTCCAATGCCCTTAGTCAGCTCAGGAGTTGAGCATGGTAATTTGAGAGAACTGGCATTTGCAAGAATGAAAGACCTCGGAATTCAGGTAAGAGTCTGATTATAACTGTTGAGATCAAAGTAATCCGAAACACAAAACAACCTTGATATTCTCACATGTTCGGTCAGAAAGCTTTCCCATATTGAAGGCATTCAGCGTGGTGGAGGTTGGAGCGAGTGGCTGCAAAGGCTGCGTCCCATCCCTACACCCCTTCTGCTCTCTTCTAACAGAGTGTAGTGTGTTGACTCAGTGTTTCTTTCTGCCTTCTCCGATTGCCACCTGTGTGCTCAATTCCCTTTTTTAAAAAACTTGTTTTCTTTTGAGCTATTGAGTGTTCGATTCTTGACTAATGGTTATAGAAGAATATGAGACTACGACATTTGAAGAAACAAGGATTGTGTACGTGAAATAATTACCAAACGGTGCTGTTGCCATGTACACCAGTCTCCTCACCCCACTTCACCCTCATGTCTATTCAGTCAATTATTTCTTTCACAGATATTTACTAAGTACTTCCTTTCTGCTGGCCCTGGAAGTACAGAGGGCCCAGGAATCTGCAATTTAAATCTCTGTAGATGATTCTTAAACCACCATGAGGTTTGAAACTCAGTGCCCTAGAAACTACTTATTGCTGCTCGAGAGAAGAAGCCAGGAGTGGTGTTGGCCTGAGCATTGATTCCTGGGCTCTGCTTTCAGAAATTCTGATTCACTAGGTCTGGGATGGAGCTCATGCATAACATAAACATGGACTACACTTAGAAAGACGTCGTTTTGAGGACCATATATCATGTTCAAAGACTTACCCAAGACATTTTATTGTCTTGGCCAAATTATTATGGAGAAAACTTTTCAGAAACTTTGTGCAGAGGAGAGTTTGTGAACATTATTGGCTTGTTGTAACCCACCACATTGAAACAGTTATAAGTTCAAGAAAACCAGCTCATGTATTTGCAGTAATTAATAAAGATTACTTACCTGCTCTGCTTCCCATTCTTCGGCTGCCCTTGATTCCCATCTCCTCTGTTCTCTGAGAAGACCACTGCCGAAGTGACTGATGTGGCCTGGTCATTCTGATCATGAGCTGTTGTCTAACGCTGTACCCCTCATAGACCTTGGCAGCCTCTCAGTAAACTGGGATTGAGTCTAAAGACTGGGATTCAGTCATAACCAGAGACATCTAGTTCACAGAGGCAATGTCTGTTCTGGAAAAGAAGCGCACACCCATCTCTACCTTTTAGAAAGCACCCCCAAACAGAAAAAAAAATTCATGGAGGCGTTCATTAAGGACATCTAAATATAGTTCATTCATGTGCAAGTTACTCTATAGAACTGCTATAATTAAAAGACAACATACAGCGCTGGCAGGTTTGGCTCAGCAGTTAGAGCATCGTCCCTCAGACCAGGGTCTCGAGTTTGATCCCCGGCCCCTGTTAGGGTTGTGCGGGAGGTAACCAATCAATGTCTCTCTCTCACATTGATGTTTCTATCTCCCTTCCACTCTATCTAAAATTTTTTTAAAAATCAGTGGACAAATATCCTCAGGTGAGGATTAAAAACAAAAAACACAGATGTAGACATAATTACAGATATGTGATCCTTTTTGCTATACAACTTTTGTTTCAGTTCATGAAATCCTCATCAGCAAAGCAGTATTATCTTGGATTAGCTCCAGTATTATCAGGATTAGCTCCTGGGGCATGGAAATAGCTTTGTTTTTATAGACCTGAATAATGAGCTCTTAATATTTCTTGTGGAATTCTATCCACATATAGTAGTCCTTCATAAATACACCATGGGTAGTTTAGTTTGTGTGAATGACATCATCAGATTTCCTCAGGTGATCTTTTCTTACAGGTAGAAAATGTTAGAATCCTGAAAATAACTTTCACAGTTTATTCTAGAGGGAAAATATGCCATAGGACATATAATTGAATACTTTAAGGAATTTGTAATTATAAATGTCAGGCTCCGTGGCATGTGGAATGGAAGTCAGAGTCGCATCACATATGCTTGGCCTTGCAGACCAGGCATTGCATCCATCTCCTCCACAGGCAGCTCTGTGCCTCCAGGGACACTCAGCCATTTGTGACCGTGGTTCAGATGATATAATACATGGGCCTGGGTCCCTTTTTCCTTCTTTGTTCCTTTCCTTCTTCCCTCCCTCCTATCCTTTCTTTTTTGGTGCTCTCTGCAAAAAATACAGCAGTCTTCAGCATCTCTCTTTTTTACTAGATTTCTAAAGTGATACAATTGTGATGCTAAAATACTAACTGCCATAAAGTGGTGAGAATTTTTAAAAATTAGGAATTTGTTCTTTTACTCATCTATATACATAGTTTTAGATTGCACTTTCAAATACATCTTCTGGATAAAACTATTATCAGATTTTAGGATGTATGTTCTTTACTTTCGATATTATATATTGATCTTTGAACTCTAAACTTATTTTAAAAGCAATCCTGTACTAACTTTATACATTTTCATTTTATGTTTTCCCTCCTCAGATTTATTAAAGATGGCTTCATTTTTAAATGTAGTTCTTTGATCTCAGTGCAAGTTATGTTCAAACTTTGAGCCCAGGATTTGGTGGAATTAGTTACCAGTTTTATCATTGTTCCCCTCCTCCACTTTTTTTTTTTGCCAGTGTCGAGATGTGAGAACCAGAGAAGTTGGAATTCAAGAAATTCATCACAAAGTACGGCCATACCAGGTTAGTTTTTTCATTTTATAGAAAGATTGGATCCTGTTCAGAAATATTTTTTGTTAATCCTGGACTTACACCTTCTTACCAGTGGGGCTGAACCCTAGAAGTTAGAGTGAACTAAGAACAAAAAGTAATAGTGGATCAGATACAGATGTACCTCTCCTGGCTTGACATCTGTACCTGATCCACTATTACTTTTTGTTCTTAGTTCACTCTGACTTCTAGGGTTCAGTCCCACTGGTAAGAGGGTGGCTGGATTGTAGAAGAGCCAGGTTGGGAAAACCACGTCTGAACTTCATTCTAGACTGGCATTGTTCCATAGCACTTTCTGCAGTGTTCGGATGTTCTGTGGTCCGTGCCACCCATTATGGCTAGTGCAACTGAGGAACTGAGTTTTTAGTTTTATTTCATTGTAATTCAAATGTTAATAGCCACATGTGACCAGTGGCTACATTCAGGCAAAGCTGGATGTGATCTACTTATCTCATTGTGTGCATCTATTAAGTTATTGCCCATTGGTGATAATCAAATGAATGGATCAGCCCTTATCAGCAGACAGGAGTTCCACAAAACCAAAGCCTGATGCTGGAAGTCATCCATTGTTTGTAAATATATGTACACTGTCTAGCTGTGTGTGAAATTTTCTGTGTGATTTAGCTCTTGTGGAACCCCATTTGGACAGGTTGGAATATGAGATCTGTGTTGATATTTCTATTCTCAAAATGAATTGTTTTATTGACATTTTTTATATTTGGGACCTTTTGAGGGAAAAAGTAGACCCAAGCACAGTTAATCATTTTGCCAAGTTCTTGTGCAATCCAGTTATTTAGCAGTCAGTTAAGTTGAGAAGGAAGATGCGTATTAGTCTAAATTGTTAACCTCACTGTGGGTACAATCTGACCATTTTTGGATGTATCTGAGTGTGACCATGCCCGCATATGTAGGCCTGGCCTTTCTGTATATGCATATTGTTACGTATTGCTCGTATTTATGCAAGAGCCACTTGAGCAGTGAGTTGAAGAATCAAAAGCCCTGTAGATTGCTACCCAAAAGCCTCCCCCAAAAGCCATTCTCCAGTGACTGGATTCTCATTAATGTTTTACTCTTACAACTAGACATACTATTTTAAAGGCCCATAGGTTGTCATCAAGGAACAAGTAAGTGATCTATGACACGTTATCCCCCCCCCCCCAAAAAAAAGTGGAGAGAAGAAAGAACTAGAAAATGAAACCATTGAGCTCCTAACAGTTCTGAGGACCAGGGATTCTCCCAGGAGCTACGAATGTGACATAGTGTGTAATTTTACCTTAGAGACTCTTCATGGAGCATCAGAGATTTAACTGCATGGAATCATTTACTAAGCCAGATATTTGTAAGAATCTCAAGGTTAATGAAGTTCAAATGTTTGTGAAACTGTAAAATTGTTTTTCTTTTATGATAGTTCATGGACATCAAAAGGGCTTCTGTTGTGAGCGGCACACGTAGGGCAGCTTGACTACTGTACATGCAGAATTGACATCATCAAGAGATTTCAAAAGTATAATTTTTTGGTATTTGCGCAGCTGGTGATTGTTAGTCCTGGCACCCACAGGGGTGTGGGGTATAGTTCATGAACAAGACCATTGATGTGAGAGTGAAATATCAATTAATTGCCTCTCATGCCACCCTGACCAGGGATTGAACCTGCAACCTGGGTATGTGCCCTGACCAGGAATCGAACCCACTGCCTTTTGGTGTAGGAGACAACGTTCAACCAACTGAACCACCTGGCCAGGGCCACATGAACTCCTATTTAATTGATATTTGAGAGCAGACAAGTAAAAAGAAACAATTCATAACTATTCATTCTTTATCCTTAATTGTGGATATTAGCCTAAGGAAATACATATAATTATAAAACTGAACTTTGTTGTCTAATTTAAAAAAAAATTTTTTTTTAAACAGGTTGAATTGGTAAGGAGAGATTATGTTGCAAATGGTGGCTGGGAAACATTCTTATCATACGAAGACCCAGACCAGGACATTTTGATTGGCCTCCTGCGATTACGAAAGTGTTCAGAAGAAACCTTTCGTTTTGAATTGGTTGGAGGCGTTTCCATAGTCCGAGAGCTGCACGTGTATGGAAGTGTAGTCCCTGTGAGCAGCCGGGACCCTACGAAGTTTCAGCATCAGGTATCCTGTATTTCATTTCTCTTTTACTATAATTAAGAAATTGCCCAAAGGAGGGAAAGAAGAAAGGAATGGGGAGAGGAAGGGAGCAGAGAAAGGGGAAAGGGAAGTATAGAAACAAAGGAACCAATATTATAGTTGTTCAAAGATGTCTTCTCTTCAAATTGCCCGCTTTTGGGTGTGAGGGAGGAGGAGGAAGACACAAAATGAGACTCAGTCAAGTGGAATAAATATTAGATTGAACCATATGAAATTGCTGGTTTTGAAAGTCAGAAATAATCTGAAAGCAGCAGTTTTGAATGATGCACTATTATGGAATGTAAAATGATAATGTGAAAGCACTTCGAAGGTATTAAAGCACTTCCCCAATGCCAGCTTTGTGATATGTAGTGGAACACTCCTTCACTCCCCCACACAACCTAAATCAATCAGTAACTCACTTTTTTAAATTTTAGGAAAATGGGTTAAAGCCACCAGTGGTGGATATATCATAGACCCCAAAATTGGTGAATTAAGAATCTTGCCTGGGCCCTGGCCGGTTTGGCTCAGCGGTTACAGCATCAGCCTGCGGTCCAGAGAGACCCGGGTTCGGTTCCTGCTAAGGGCATGTACCTCAGTTGCAGTTTGTCCCCGGCCCTGGTTTGGTTGTGTGGGTGGCAGTCACTCGATGTGTCCCTTTCACATTGATATTTCTCTCTCTCTCTCCCTCCTATTCTGTCTGAACCAAAAATGGAAAAATGTCCTCTGGTGAGGATATAAAAAAAAAAAGAATCTTGCCTGGGGCCCTGACTGGGTAGCTCAGTTGGTTAGAGCATCATCCTGATGTGTCAAGATAGTAGATTCAATCCCTGGTCAGGGCACATACAAGAAGCCCTGGCTGAGTTGGCTCAGCAGTTAGAGTGTCAACCCTCGGACCCAAGGGTCTTGGGTTCGGTTCCTGGTCAAGGGGACATACCTGGGTTGTAGGTTTGATCCCCAGCCCTGGTTGGGGTTTTGTGGAGGCAACCAATCAATGTGTCTCTCTCACATTGATGTTTTTCTTTCTCTCTCTCTTCCTCTTTCTCCTCCCTCCCTCCTTTCCACTCTGTCTTAAAAAAAAAAAAAAAAAAATCAATGGAAAAATATCCATGGGTGAGGATTAACAAAAAAAAGCAACATTAGCAACCAATGAATGTATAAATAAGTGAAAGTGGAACAGCAAACTGATGTTCTCTCCCTTCCTCCCTCCTGCCCTCTCCTCTTCCCTCTCCCCCTTCTCTCCCTTCCTCTCTCTCTCCTCTTCCCTCTCCCCCTTCTCTCCCTTCCTCTCTCTCTCCTCTTCCCTCTCCCCCTTCTCTCCCTTCCTCTCTCTCTCCTCTTCCCTCTCTCCCTCTCTCTCTCTCCTCTCCTCTCCCCCTTCTCTCCCTTCCTCTCTCTCTCCTCTCCCCTCTCCCCCTTCTCTCCCTTCCTCTCTCTCTCCTCTCCCCTCTCCCCCTTCTCTCCCTTCCTCTCTCTCTCCTCTCCCCTCTCCCCCTTCTCTCCCTTCCTCTCTCTCTCCTCTTCCCTCTCCCCCTTCTCTCCCTTCCTCTCTCTCTCCTCTCCTCTCCCCTCTCCCCTTCTCTCCCTTCCTCTCTCTCTCCTCTCCCCTCTCCCCCTTCTCTCCCTTCCTCTCTCTCTCATCTCTTCCCTCTCCCCCTTCTCTCCCTTCCTCTCTCTCTCCTCTCCCCTCTCCCCCTTCTCTCCCTTCCTCTCTCTCTCCTCTCCTCTCCCCTCTCCCCCTTCTCTCCCTTCCTCTCTCTCTCCTCTCCCCTCTCCCCCTTCTCTCCCTTCCTCTCTCTCTCCTCTCCCCTCTCCCCCTTCTCTCCCTTCCTCTCTCTCTCCTCTTCCCTCTCCCCCTTCTCTCCCTTCCTCTCTCTCCTCTCCTCTCCCTCTCCCCCTTCTCTCCCTTCCTCTCTCTCTCCTCTCCCTCTCCCCCTTCTCTCCCTTCCTCTCTCTCTCCTCTTCCCTCTCCCCCTTCTCTCCCTTCCTCTCTCTCTCCTCTTCCCTCTCCCCCTTCTCTCCCTTCCTCTCTCTCTCTCCTCTCCCCTCCCCCCTTCTCTCCCTCTCCTTTTCCCTCTTCCTCGTCTCTCCCTTCCTCTCTCTCCTTCTCCTTTTTCTTCTCCCTTTCTCTCTCCCCCTTCTCTTTCTCCTTCTCTCCCTCACTTCTCTGTCTCTGAAATCAATAAATAAAAATTAAAATAGTTTGCCTGATTTAAGCCTCTTTAGAAATTGAAGAGGTGTAATAAATACAAGATCAGATGCTCCAGACTTCATCACCTGGAGATTGCCTAGAACTTGCTTGTTATTATTTTCTTTTTATCTTTATTGTTGAAAGTATTACAGATGACCCTCCTCTTTTCCCCCACTAACACCCTCCTCCCTGCTTCTGCCCACCCCCCTTCACTGCACTGTAGTCTGCGTCCATTGGTCATGCATTTATGCATATCAAACTTGTTTAAAAGAAACATTGAGAGGCAGTTACCCCCTTGCTGTGAGTAGATTACATCATTCACAAAATATCTTTTGGCTTTTGTTGCAAAGGTTTTCCTTTTTTACTTTTGGTGTGATTGAATGCTTTCTCTTTTCTTACTCCCATAAACTTTTGGTCATTCTTTTTTTTAATATGTTTTTATTGATTTCAGAGAGAGGAAGGGAGAGTGAGAGGGAGATAGAAATATCAGTGAGAGAGAAGCATTGATTGGCTGCTTCCTGCATGCCCCCTGCTGGGGACAGAGCCCACAAAACCTGGCATGTGCCCTGACCTGGAATTGAATCACCAGCCTCTTGGTGCAGGGGACTGTGCTCAACCAACTGAGCCACACTGGCTGGGCTGTCACTCTTATTTTAACAGATTTTAGCAAATACTAAATATCAGGCTTCTTGTTTTACGGATTCCCCCTGAATGACTTCTCTTCTTAATTCTCTAACCCTCTTTATTGCTTCTTATAGGGATTTGGCATGCTGCTGATGGAGGAAGCAGAAAGAATAGCCAGAGAAGAACATGGATCTGGGAAAATAGCTGTTATATCAGGTAAGTCCGGGGGTGGGGGTGGGGGCGGTAAAGTTCATGATTCATTCACAATTTTAACTTGGCACCACAATTAAAGCTACCACAGGCCTGTTTATGTTCAAAATTGGACAGAACTGAATAGAGTAAGACCTGTGCTTAAACACACAGAAAATTCCTATAAGCGGTTTGGTGGCATAGAGCTCTTAGAAGCCCTCCATCGCTGAGTGGCAAGACCAGTAAGTAGTCTGTGTCCTGTCTTCCTCGACGTCTGTCACACTAGTCATCATGGTCATCTCCTCTCTTGTGCTTCGTGCCCAGTTACTTTATCTGGGAAAATGAAGTTTGATGGTATGGATCTAAGAAAAATGTAAAACAATGTGCATATTATTAACACTGTTGTTCAAAAGATTAAAATAGAATCTGTTTCCAGTACAAGATGTTTAAAGGCAGAGTTTCCTGTTCCTTAAATATTGTTTGAAGTGACTTTGCTCTTGGGGAACAGCTTTCCCATTTGGAAGCTTCTCCTTACCTTGTCTAGGGCATCAGATACTGGGGAAGGGGGCGTGCAGTGCACATTCTGGACGAGTGGAACAAGAAATGATGGGCACACCCTTTCACTCCTACTCCTTAGTACTGTATCCTTACAAAAACTGCTGTTCCTAGTAAGAAGCTAACATAATGAAAGCCATGATCAAAATTTAGGTTATTTTTCCTCCAGTGTTTGTTTTCTTATTAGACTACTCCATTCTAAAGGCAGATTATATTCTTTTAAGAAAATACTCTTTTCTCTGAAAATGAAAGTTGAAATGAAATTTTCTTTTTAAATTAGTAAGCTGCTGCACATCAATAAATCAATGTCCTTGCCTAGCTTTTAATGATTATAATTATGAAAATATAATGACCCAGGCTCACTTAATCATTTAGTCTGGCCACGGTTTTTGGCATTATCCAGGCAGATTAATAAAGCATTTCTTAACATGGCTTGCTTTATAATTTTTTTCCTATTATCTTTAATTCCACTAAAGAAGAAGGAACTAAATTAAGTCAATGAGGCTCATGTGATTGGTCCTGATATATGTGATGATAAATGTTTGCCTCTCTACTGTTTAATGTGTGATTGACCAGAGTCAGCCTTTCCTGGTGGTACCAGGAAAAGGCCAGACTGATTCAGAACTCATTCTCCACATGCATCTGTGAAGGGTTGAGAGCATCTAAAAGTTCAGTGGCCTCTTTTGCCAGAGCACTGTCAGTGTTTGCAGTACAGTACTCAAGCTTTAATGTGCTTGTGAGTCACCTGGAGAGTTTGTTAAAGTGCAGATTTTGACTCATTAGGTCTGGGGTGGGGCCTGAGAGCCAGCATTTCTAACCCACTCCCAATGATACCTATGCCAGTTATTTTTAGACCACACTTTGATTACCAGGGTTTTAGTATTCTCTTCCAAATGTAATGTTTTCTTCCAGTCATTAAGGAAAGAATACTCTCTGTGACCCTGGCCGTGCCTGTGCTCTGGAAGTCTGATATGCAGTCACGTGATTTTCTGGTATCCTGGGAAACCTAATCAGTCTTAAAACAGAGCATCAGTGTTCTCTCACTTCTCCACGTTATTTCATTTGGCTTCATGATATCTCTCTTTTTAGAAATAATATGTGCAGGGAGGGCCCCTGACTTGCCTGAAGTCACATTCAGTTGCCCATAAAAGCCTCAGTTTCTGCTTTTTATGAGCAGGAAATGGAAAACAGCATCTGCACTTTTTCTAGCTTTTTATCATAATCTAAATAATAGCTCAATTTCAGATCATCTGCTTGTAGAATGTTTAAAGTAACAGGGAAGAGCCTTTCTCCTTGTCAGCTCCTGCAATAGGACTACTAGTCTTCTGTATGGGGGTTGCTTTTGGTCAGTGAGTTTCTAGCCAGAGGGACGGCCCTGGAAGAACAAAAGTGAGTTCTGTTTGACTCAAGATCTGGTCACCCTTCAAAAGAAAAAGCTAGAACTTTTGTTCTATGTTTGATGCATTTTACTTCTCTATTTAGTAATATATTACTGTTCTATTTCAATTTCTGAATCAGACACCTGAGATGTTTATTATTCAGAACCGAGGAAGGCAAATTTAAAGTGTTTGTTTGTTTTATTTTTTAATCCTCACCTGCGGATATTTTTCCATTTATCTTCAGATAGAGTGGGAAGGAGGGAAACAGAGAGCAAGAAACATTGATGTAAGAGAGACACACTAAATGGTTGCCTCCTGCACAACCCCAGCCAGGGCCAGGGACTGAACTGCAACTGAGGCACGTGCCCTTGACTGGAATTGAACCCATGACTCTTTGGGTCGACGCTCTAACCACTGAGCAAAACCAGCCAGTGATAAAGTGTTTATTTTTAATGTTTATGTTTAATGTTACATGGTTTTTATGTTGGGTTTTTCTTTCCACGTTTGTTCATTTTGACTATTTTTTTTCCTAACAATTTACTTTCAATTTTATTTTGTATTGGTTACAGGTATACAGCTTAGTGATTAGACAATCATATACTTTGCATAGTGAATGTAAGTACAGTGGTGTGTGTGTGAATAGGTTCTGTAGAAAGTTGAGCAGTTACCCTCCATGGGTTGACCCTTGGAATGCAGGTCTCTCAGTGACAGCACTGGTGTTTGTGTACTGCATCCAGTCATAGCACCTCCTCAGAGGTGGTCTAAGAAGACACACAGGCAGGGCATGGCTCAGATTCCATTTCTGCATTGACGGTAGGTAGCTCTTGTGATCTTGGATAATTTCACTTGCTCTTCATGGACCTTTACTTCTTTACTACAGACAGGTGGGTTACCTTATCTTCCACAGTTCTAACAGTCTGCCCCTTAGTATCTTGATTTCTTTAAGTTCTCCACATGACCAGTTGTTTTACATTCATATTTTAAGTCGATTCTTTTCTGAACCCATACTAGGATTCCCTTTAATTTAATCAGTAACTGATCTTAGTCTCATTGTGCATTGGGTATTTGCTGATAAAAATGAAGATAAAGTTTACCTCAGGTCCTTAACCCCAGCAGTGATTTGTGGGTGCATATTAACTTTGGTCACAGCTGGTGGTACTTTGTGGCCTAGTGCCCTACCATTTTTTTCTGACCTTGTCGTTGATTTGTATATCCGTTCTTGTTTTGGTCTGGAGGCTTTTGTAAAGCTCTTACACAGTGGGCCTAAATATTCTATCCTGGCATAACTAGTAGCTTGAATAAGGGAGAGAAAGATCATTTGTCACTCTCGTTACTGTGACTGTAAGAATGCATTTATGTAGAATTTGTGTATAAGTTACATTATGATTCATTATGACTTCCCTTCATCTTGTCAGCAGATTTTCTCTGTTACTTAGATTTATAATCTTTGATTCTGCCTCTAGACAATATCACTAGCTACACAATAGATCTGATGTAAATCACTAGTCAGAAAAACTAGTACATACTTTCTGTAAACAAAATATATTGAGATAACAGATTTAAAAAAAAACCAAAAAACAAAGAGCCCTGGCCAGTTTTGCTCGGTGGTTAGTTCATCTGCCTGCAGACCAGAGGGTTGTGGGTTCAAGTCCTGGTCAGGGTTGTGCATGAGGTGGCCAATCAGTGTGCCTCTCTCACATGTTTCTCCCTCCCTCACTTCCACTCTCTCTAAAAATCAATGGAAAAATATCCTCAGGTGAGGGTTAAAAATAATAATAAATGATGTTTATATAAGGTTTTATAACTGATTTATCTTTTTTAAAAGATTAATTTTATAGCTACATGAGAAAATTAAAAATGTCCTTGTTTATCAAATGAAACTCTTAGACTTTGCTTATTCTGTTTTTTTAACTATATATAATTCTTAGTAAGTAAACGAAGTGTTTTAAAGTTAACCATCAACTCTAAATGTAAAAATTAAACAAAACAAAAATGAAATGTTTAGCTTCATCAACATCAAAATCACTAAGTATATTAAGTATCTGCTATGTGCACGGGACCCAGGGCCCAGAGAGCAGATGGAGGAGATACAGGATGCTGCCTGTCTTTGAGGGATGTTCATAGTGGGCTGGGGAGCTCTCGGTCTTCACCCCAGAGATTGTCCCTAACTGCAGAGAAAGATACGTTTTTCTCCCTGCTTAACTATTTCTCAATTTAGGATTAATTTTTTTCAGAGTAAGGAAGTAGTATTTTCCTACATGGAAAAAGTGGGTAAAACAGCAGTAGAAGAACAACCAGTTTATAAAATAATGTGTAGGGCAGAAAATAACAGTTAATTGCTGCTAAATGTCTAAGCAATTAACTAGTCCCTGTTAAGTCCAAGTGCTTTTTAGTATCTCTCACCAGCTTACTCAGGTAGCTTCTGTCAACACATGTTTAAGATTAACAAATCGTATCTACTTAAAATGTTTGTCTGCTTGGATGATCAGCATTCATTCCTTTAAAAGTGTGAAGATGAAGCAGTTCTTTCTCTTTCCTCTCTTATGGTGAAATGCCATCACTAAGAATCACCATGGAAACAAGATTTCTGATGTCACACTGCTTATACCATTTCCAAAAAAGGCAAATATAACTGTCAGTAGCCACTATTTAAAAAGCCATTCAGTGCCCCCAACAGAATGATTTTTTTCTCCCTTTTGGCAGTTTTGGCTAGGTATCGGATCCAGTCATGTTACTGTTTCTGTTTGCAAAGCTAATTGCTATGCATCAAGACGAACAGCTATTCCCCAAGCTCCCCTCCTACCTTCGTCATAAGCAGTATTCTATTTGTGTTCTTTCAAGTAGAAAATTAATATGGCCATTGGCCAAGAATTGTACAAGCTTGATATCACACAATGATGATGAGAAATGAGGAAAATGTCTGAATGGTTGATAACAGAAATCACTGAAGTCAGAGACTGATAGCCATTTTGTTTAAACCTATTAAAAAGGCAAAGAAGAGGGGAGAGGAAAGGAGCTTAAATAAAAGGTGGTGAGTAAACGAGTCACTGTGGAGATGAGATCATTCTAAATCACGATGCTCAGTTAGGACTC